TGAGGTCAAATCGTGCTTCCTAGAGTGTCACTCGCTACGTATTATATGCAAACATAATTCAGGATGACGGCGGGTTAACGTCAATATTTGTGCGGGGGAAATAAAAAATGGTTGCAGAGACGTGGGATGCCATCGGGGATTTGATCTCTGCAGGACTATTTGCAAATTCTTGGAATGCTGGACGATATTCAGGACAAGTTACACAGCAAGTCAATATTTGTTGCGAGAGAAGTTTCAAAACGGAATAACTTCCACGTGGATTAGTTGCGTACAACAAATTATAACGAATAATATCAGAAATGCATAAACGCAAAATTCCTTTTCTGCCGATCGACATTAAAGGCGTATAGTCCAATCAATCGGTAGAAGAAGAAGAAGAAGAAGCTTACAAAAAATACCACCTGGAAACAAAAAAAATATGGTGATAGGAAAAAAATTCTAAGATAGTGTTTTTTCCTGTGGCGAAGTTAACCTAAGAAATTCATAAAAGTCAAAAGAACGATTTTTCGCTAATAAAAAAAAATTGAACTCCAATCGAAAAAAGTTAAATGAGAAAGTTGCAGTTATTAAAAAAAAACTATCGATTCGTATTTTGAAATATATCGATTGCTATATTTACAGCAAGTAACAAGTTTCAAAATCTTAATTTGCAAGAGGTACAGCAAAAGGTCGATTTTTGATGTTTTTTTTTATATATATATCTTGAAAAGTAATATAGCAATCGATATATTTAAAAATCCTAATTGATAGGTTTTTTTAATAGCTATAACTTTATCATTTAACTTATTTCGATTGGAGCTCAAGTTTTTTTTTTTATTAGCGAAAACCGTTTTTTTTTTACTTTTATGAATTTTTTAGGTTATCTTCGCCGTTTATGCGCCATAGGAAAAAACATTACCTTTCCTCAGAATTTTTTTCCTACACCACCATATTTTTTCTTTCCACGTGATATTTTTTGTAAATTTAACATTAGGCCGTGACTAGGGTTTCTGATCGAGACTTCTCGAAGCGAGAATTCCCGGGAAATCTGGCCTTACTCGAGACGAGAAAAAAGTGTCGAGAAATCGAGAAATTTAAAAATCACGAGTGTTTTAAGTTCTTGACTGGAGGTCGTTTCGTTCATAATGCGTTCAATTCGTTTCTCGACAAATAACTGAGCGGTTAAAGTGGTTTCTCGACTAGCTCATGATTTATTTATTTTAAATTTATTTTAAGTTTTTAAGGCTTTAGTTTACTTGGATGATTCTTATTTTTTTAATGTACCTAGTTATAAGTCTGTGTAGAAATTTTATTATAAGCAGATACCTAATGTTGATTTTGATTATGAAAATATTTAGTTCCTGTTCCTTTAGTTGATTATTTTATTTTTGTTTTGTTAATTAAAAGAATGTGATTACATATTACACGGTCGATAGCCGCACGGTTTAAGGCGTCAGTACTTAAAACGATGTGGAGGATTGGCACCCTCTGTGCACTATTTGACTACCCCCATATTTAATGAGGTTTTCCAGGTTTCCCTTATTCCTGCACTGAATGGTGGTTAGGGCCTACCAACATAAGTCGTTCCTGGGCGCAAATGCGACCTGCGTAGTAATAATATGCCGCCTCCTCTCCCGCACAAGTCTCCGACTTCTGGGCTAATTCTCGTAGTTAGAATGAGGAGTAGAGATATTATTATTATTATTATTAATATTATAAGTGAAAAATTAATAGGAAGAACGCTTCTGTATCTTTAAATTAAAGCTTTTTTTTAAGATTTCTTCGGTTAAATTCCTTATTTACTATTTGTTTAATTAAAAGACTGCATGATTAATGATTATTAATAATTATTGGAAGAACGCTACGATTCAAAAACATTGAAGTAAACATAAGTATATTGAAAGTGTTTAATAAAAAAACAAGTTAAAGGTTTTTAAGAAGAAACTCAAAGTTTAATTTAGTTTTGTTAGTAGAAGTAGAAACATAAGTAGGAATTAATAAAAATACTGAATAAATAATAAATATTAATGATGATTGTTAAGTATAATAGCATGTTTATATTTCGCATTGCAATACCAAAATTATGACTTTTTTAAGTTTTAGAAATTTCTCGAGAATTCGAGAATTCCCAGGAATTCCTAGTCGAGAATTCTCGAGAAAAAAAGTAGGCCGAGAAATCAGAAACTCTAGCCGTGACAGATTGATTGGACTAGTAACTTTAGTGACAGCTGTCAGGCAAATGTATAAATTCCTATTAATTGGTTATATACAGTATGTCACTAAGTTGGAACCATAATATACATGGAAAATTTTTTATTATTAATTTTTAAGAAAAAAGTTATTCCTCATAAAAAGTTCTGCATGTTCTAAAATCTCATCATATATTAAATTTTTTCAGTCGTAAACACGGTTTGTCAAAAAATATGAATTTTACTCAAGAGTAAAAGTACCTTCATATTTGACAATATCGAAAATTGTTATAAAGAGAAGTTGATCAGAACCAAAAACTACGTTCAAATATGCAGTTACGTCCATTTACATTAAAAAAAGTTTCTTCTTTCTCTTTTTTTGTCTACTATATCAATACAAAAACTGTAGTTATATGTAATCTAGGATGTCCCGACATACAAATCATTTGTTGATAGCAATAAATAACAGTGAATTTCATCACACGTTAGAATTTATAAGACATAAAAATGGTAGTGTTATTAACTTGTGAAGAGAAAATAGATTTGCTTGTAGGAGAAAATTATAAAACACATAGAGAAGCAGCTATTATTTTTAATAATAGACATCCCAATAAAATATTAATCATGTTACGAAAATAGTAAATAAATTTAAGAGTATTGGAAGTATTAAAAATAATTTTAATGAAAAACGCCAAAAGCTGGTTGTCGATGGATACGCAGTTAGAAGTAATGCTGTCTGTGGTAGCAAATCCAAAATTGTCATTGCGCAAAAGGAAGTCGTTGATGCAACAAAATGTAAGTAAAGATACAGTGGCAACAATTTTAAAACTAAATAAATACAAACCATTCAAACCAAAAATCGTTCACACATTGAAAGAAAGGGATTATGATAGGCGCTTTGATTTTAGCTGTCTCATCCAAGGAAAGTTAGAAGAGGACCCTTTTTTACGAGGCATATAATTTTTTCCGATGAAGCAACGTTTTCGTCAAATGGAACTGTCTCGTCACAACATTTTCGCTGGTGGTCTGAAGAAAATCCAAATTTTACAATAAAGTCTCATGGCCAATATTCATTTAAGACGAACGTGTGATATGGCATTTATAAGAACAGATTAATCCTTTTTTTTTGTCAAGCTATGAATGCCGAACATTATTTACAGTTTTTACAAACCCACATCAATGACTTCATGGACGAACTACCCTTACAAGAACGTCAATGTATTTGGTTCCAACAAGACGGTGCCACATGCCACAGTACATTGAATGTTAGGGAATATATTGAACATATGTTCCATGGAAAAGTTATTCACAGATATTCTGATCTCTTTTGGCCTGCTAGATCTCCTGACTTAACCCCCCTTCAGTACTTCTTATGGAGTTACTTGAAACAAAAAGCCTACCAGAAGGGACCATTTCAAGATGTTAACCATTTGGAGAGGATAATTTTAGAAACATGCCAGGAAATTTCTCCACAAATGATAAGGAATGTATTACGTGAATTTGCTAATAGAATGACACGTATTGAACGAGAGGGTGGATATGTCAAGGCAGTAGTAGAATGAGTGAAAAATAAAATTCTATTTATTTCTAGTATTAACATTATTTTGTATATATTTTCTTATTTGCAAAATAAATGCACGTGTTTAAATTGCAAAATTGTTACAAAACATTTAGAAACGAAAAGGTCATGTGTTTCAAAATCACAAGAGAAAAATGTTCATTCAAAATAGAAAGATTAGTAAAAAAATAACAAAACCTAATTTTTCAATGTAAATGGGTGTAATTTTATATTTGAAAGTAGTTTTTAGTTCTGATCAACTTTTCTTTATAACAATTTTTTAAATTGTCAAATATAAAGGTACCTTGCTCTTGAGAAAAATTCAATTTTTTTGACAAATCACGTATACGACTGAAAAAATTTGATATCTGATGATTGTATTTTAGATTTTAGAACATGCAGAACTTTTTTTCCTAAAATTAATAATAAAAATGTTTTCCGTATGGTTCCAACTTAGTGAGACATACTGTATATAGATAAGTATATTATCTATTTATATAGGTCTTACGGTAACCACTATATTTACAGTACAATCTGATGAAATTGTTATTATTCATGAAAAAAGTATAGAAGTAAGTATATACAATTTTAATAATATAAAAATAAATAGCTTTGTTTGATATTATAATAAAATAAAAATTGATCGGCGAAAAAATTATGTGTTTAACTTGACAGTAAAGTAGATTTAATGCTTTGGCTTTTTTTGATAGACTCGACTGCGCCTCGTTTATTAAATATCAGCCGCGCCATTAAATAACTAAACAAATAATTATTTTTAAAAATAGATAAAAGTAAGGTAAGCGGTAACATGTTAAATTTAATTAGTGTTATCTAATTGTTAGCGTGCAATATAAATTATTTTCCTTAGCTTAATTCTGACGAGTGGGTACTGATCTAATTTCGACATGAACTTATCCAACCAAGATTAACTTAAACCATCAGCGAATTAGGCTTAATGCGGCTATTATTAATATAATCAACTGCTAAACTTCGCTAGAACTCGGGAAGGATTGTTCTTAATTGTGTAGTTAAGTGAAAACTCCTCTTATTGTTCGAAATAACTGCTAATTAATCAAGTTAAATTTACTAATAATTGTCATTAAAGTGACGTTTGTTTGGAAAGGAAACAATAATTTTGTTAGTGCGGGGAATTATTAATTTGTGGCACAATTCGAGTGAAGTGCCGATGTGCCAAAACATCTCCACCGGAGACAAAATTATTTAATTCAGTACATCACGCTCCTTTTACGATAATTTTAAAATGCATCACTTACCCCTTAAATGCCAAGCCACGACACTATCGCCGGTCGATCCTGCAACAAAATATAACTGTTGATTTTTCATCCCATTGCTTAATTAGAATAATAAAAATCTCATAAAAATTCACATTGTGCAAATATTAGTTTGAAATACACAAAACATATACAATTATAACAGCAAAGCATTATTAATTATTTTAATGTTGGCAGCCCTGTTGAATTTACATCAGGAATAAATTATATTGCTTGGATGGATGTAAAATGTGGATTGCATTTCATTTAAATATTTCAAGCGTAATTACAATATATAATGATAAAACAACAATGGATTTATTTAAACAAAAGCTCATAATTGTCTAAATATGTGAAATAATTGACGACTATGGTAATTTACTTTACATAAAGAATCTTTACTGTACTTTTCTATTTTATGAGACGATTTAAGGATTGTCTGATAAATTTGGAAAATAAAATTAGGTATTAGGAAATTATAAAATAACAAAAGTAATATGTTAAAGGCTAAAAACTTTTTAAATCAATGTGTTTAGACATTCTCCTTATATAATAGAACGAAATAATTTGTTTACCAAGTGACATGTACAATACAATTAAATGTTAACATTCAATTACCTTGTACCTTTGTAATTATTTCTGAACCTCTAATAGCAAATGACCACAAATTTTACAAACATTCGTAATGCAACAATTATTATCTATTTAAATGAGCAAAGAATATTTAGGTACGTATGACTTAATTTTAGTAAAAGATCTAGCATATCTAAAACAATCCTGAAAATAATTGCAAGTTCTTCCCCCAACGTAAATGTTGATAAAAAAACTGGTGTATGAATATGACAAATTTAATTTTTTTTTTAATAATGAAGAGTTAATATTAGATTAAGTATCAAGTTATTAGACAGAAGGAATAATATTTATGCTCTATATCAATTAGTTATTTTTTCAAAATTTTAAAATATTTTATTTGGGATACTTAAGTATATTGCAGAGTTTATTGAAAATACATACAGGGTGATTCACAACTTATCCAAAAAAATTTGGGACTAGATGTGCCATGAGAAATGGAGTCAATTTCGTAAAAAAAAAGTTTGTAAAATCCTTATAGTTTCCGAGAAAAAAATTATTGAAGTTATAATACTTTCAACCATTACATCGCTGGACAACTGTTGTCTCTAGCGTCATTCGCAATACGCGTGGAGAGCCACGTGGCCTCAGCGAGTTCGTATACTGAAATCTGATTTTATAATCGTCGTTGCGATAGTGTTTATAATAGTTATTTAGCAGTTGGTGCCAAAAATAGCTTGCGTTTATAGCAACTCGGAATTGATGGATATCGTTTTAATTTATGGTGAAGCAAGAAGGTTGTATTATGGTGAAACATTTGTGTTATGGTGAAGCAGGACAACATTTGTGTTAGTTCGTAGAAACTGAGTAAGACGGGCCCAAATGTGTCTACATGTCGGTGGACAAAATTTTAACAGTTATTGTAACATCAGGTATATCAAATTATTTTATTAAGTAAAACCACCAATTAATTTGATTAACTAATAATAGCAGTTGAATTTGCTGATATAAAATTGTATTAATTTCTTTCCATACAAAATTCTTTCAAGTTTTTGTCCATTTTTTATTACACTTCGCCTTTCGTAAGGTCAGGTTTTACAGTGGACCAGTTTCCAGTGCCGCGCAGAAGTGTATTTTTAAATTATTTTCGAACTTTCATTTTGATTTTTTATTTACAAAATTGTATTTGTACATTCTAATTTTTTTTTTGATAAGTTCGGAATCACCCTGTATATACACATTTTCCGTAAAATTAAATAATTCATTTTTATATAAATTGTCCATAAATATTAAATTTAAGTTTCACTGGATAAAATATTAATTCAGGAATGTACCTAATAGAAAATCGAACCGGTTATGATTTTGTACTATATATTGTGGTGTATACCCCCATTCTAATTTAAAAAACATACAATTCCTACGATGTAGCAGAAAGAAAACGCTGAAAATTATTTTGCTCGGGGCTACTACGAGACGAGCTGTCCCTGCGCCTGAACTCAGTACGCTCGCAGTTCCCCTACGTCTATCCAAATCCGACCAAGTAAGCAATAATTCCGCTGAAGCAGGCCTCACGTCTCCAACTTCCAGTTTCAGTCGCCCCGGGCCGAACTTTATAAATGGAATTATACAAACACTGACGGATATGACATTGGAGTGTAATTCCATATCTTGACGGACTTCCTGGGGTCGCCTACGACCCCGAACTCAGACATACACGTAGTGACGGTGCGGACTCGGTGGCCATATTTCAGATGTTAAGTGCACACGGTCCCATATCTAATGTTAAGTCATGTCTTTAGTTCTAACAGATATAAATCTTGCGAAGTAATTTAATCAGAATCAGACTATCTATAAGGATATTTAGGCAGCTCTCCCAAGTAGCTTCAGCCAATTTGGTGTAACATTCACTATTATTGTGGTTTCATAGTGCACTTATTACTGTGATTCATTGTTTTTCAGTGTTCAAAATGACTTATTTACATAGTAGTTGTGGAAGAAAATCCGCTTAAAAGACAAGGTAAATCGTTCAACATGTGACTGAAGTGCCCCAATCAACAATGTGGCGAATATTACACAAAGTTCAAAAGTATTTTCATGTACGTATGCGTGCCTAAGCATTTTTACACCTGAATGTTAGTTATAGATGAAGCTGGGTTTACACAAAATTGGATAAAAAAAACACTTTCTCGGAATTCCTGAAATCCGCGAAAATGTGATTCAACTCGATCAAAAACCGAAGCATCCTTATCCCGAGCTTTGGCAATCATCTACATAAATCCTTTGAGAAAAAAACCTTGACGGCAACAACTCTTACACCAAATTGTTGGTTCAGATATGTTGATTATAGATCTCGTCCCACGGAGTAATAACAAAGGTGGAAAAGTTTCTGGAACAAATTAATGGAATATATCCGGTCATCAACTTCACTGTGAAGCTGAAAGAAAACAGTACCCTTCCGTTTCTAGATGTCCTTACAAATGGAAACCAAGTGGGACTACGAGGCACAGCAGAGGTTCCTATATGCACCATTCAACCCAGAAGCAAGATATCATCAACAAAGTGTATCGAGTACACAACATCTGTGAGCTAGAGCACTTGGATGATAATTACAACACCCATGATTCAGTTCTCATGAGAAATACATAAACTAGCAGAAATATTGAACAAACCATCACGACACCTAAAAACAAAGAAAATAAGGAATATCTGGCAATAACCTATCTATCTGCTTCTGCTTCTTAATAAAATACAACTTTAATACCGTCTTTAGGCAAGGAAGATAGGAGTTGCCTTTTCCAAGATGAGCTGCAAGAACGATTTACTCCTTTGAGTGGTTTTTATTACGGTCTATATGTAACCTGAGGGATTATTTATTTATTTATCTATATATCGTTATGATAAGTATCACAACGAGTCTGGATTTCAAAAGAGTTCAATTCTCGAAAGGGAGTTTATAATTATCATTATACTTTAAGTAATAAATACGTGGAAACTTAGAAATGTTATATGTTCAGAAAATGAATTTCAGGCACTTACCCTCTGTTGCTTATGTAGAATGTAATATAGTGGCTGGCTATACAGGGTGTCACTGAAGTTGAGAGTTTATCCATTATTAAATTAACCCGAGACTCTAAAACTAAGTAGACTGCTCAATGTGAAACCCAAGGAAGAACTGACCTTTGTTCGTAGATCTCTCCTGAATTCGACATTTCGCTTCGACACGCACATTTCTTGGGTTCAGACGTTTCTGTTCTTATCTTACGGGCGGGAACCCTGGATATCGGAACGCTTTGGCATAACTATGCCATGTTAATAGTTATCTAATTGACTGATGTTACATTTATCTAAATAATTTTGAGACTAAACTTACAAACAACCCTAGCCTTCCTCTAGTGACTCCGTGTAGCGATACGGGACGGATTAGTCGATCTCATTTGATATATCCTTATAGTCCGAAAATCCGCCAAAAAAAACAACTATTTGATCTATTATTTTCTTTTCCAATTACTATCAATTTGATTTAATTCTACTTTGGAACCTCAACGCTCTTCTCGTGGTTTCGCGCGTTATTAAAAATATCGATTTTTCCCTTTATTCTGTCCCAGCATAGGCTGGCGCCTCCCGGATGCGACAGATGACTGTCACATGGCCCCGACTCTAAGTGAACTTGTTCAAAAAATATTGCTAAATTTCTCCGAAGGACGACGCTAACCTACTTGAGAGCCTTTAACTTTCGATAATTTATGTTGACTGAAATATTTTACTTTTTTTGGCCCATCCGTTCCGAGAACTAACAAATAAATTACTACGCGTCCCGGCTTTTGTTATATATACAACATTTCGTCTAAATGCGACAAAGTATACTTTGGACAAATAAAGAAACACATTAGCACGAAGTTAAAAGAAAATAAGTCATTTGCGAATAAAAATGCAGTCAAATGATCAGTTACAGGACAGATATAGGGCACTTCATGAACCTGAGTAATAAACGAATTCTATGAGAGGGAGAAAATTCTATGGAGAAGCAATGTAATAAAAATTATCTAGAATTGGAAAACGACTCATACCTAAAAATCAAGGATTGGAAAGTCGTAGGCTAGGACTTCAAACCATGCACCAAAACATCATGGGCCAGTATAATACCGGCGAGAGGACTTAATTTCATTTCGAGATATGACGATATAACGAAATGTACGTAGAAAAGCACTAATTTTTGCTTTGTCCAATTACAACTCATGAATTTTGCTAGCGAGGAATTTCTTAAAGATTTGTAAATTTTGATATTTTCTATTTAATAAATAAATAAATAAATTCGTCACTAAGAGGGAAGTGTTTCTTCTTTGGTTCGGTCCTCAAGTAATATAAAGATCTGATGATGATTCTTTTAAAGCACATCTTGTGGCTATGGCTATTTAACGAAATTCGTCGTTTTCTATTTAGTTTAAATCCAATTTAGACAATTATTTATTGTT